GTGAAGACGGAACAGAGCTTGTCCTCCGCCATGAAAGCCGAGATCCCCGGGCGCCTGAGCGCCTTGAAGACCAAATCCATGAAGCTGCTGATGGCCACCAAGGCTCGTGCGGTGGATTTCTTGGAGCTGGCGGCCGTGAAGGTCCAAAGCCTGAAGGTGGAAACGGTGCAATCCGTGACTGCACTGAAGGCCAAGGTGTTGGATACCGCTCAGGAGATGAAGAAGGGGACGGTTTCCCGAGCACAAATGCTCCTGGCTTCTGCAAAGTCATTGAAATCTACCACAGCAAAGAAGTTGACAGATGCAAAGGCAGCAGCTGGCGCCAGCTATGCCAAGTTGCGCAAGGATGGTGTGCGCACTTGGTCTCGTGACAACGTGCAGCTTGCCCGGGAGTATGTGGCCTTTAGCATTGCCAGCGTTGACAGTGCAGCCAGGAGCAGCTATCGCAATGCCCGGGCGACCAGTCTGGCATTCATTGCATCCACCAGAAAAAGCATCAAGGACCGCATCCAGGAAATCGTGGACGGTGCCAAGGCGCGTGTGGCCGCCGGCCGCGCCAAGGCTCTGCAAACCGTGGACAGTGCCAAGGCGCGTGTGGCCGCCGGCCGCGCCAAGGCTCTGCAAACCGTAGACAGTGCCAAGGCCAAGGCCTCCGAGGCCCGGGACAAGGCACACGCTTTTGCCAAGAATGACCATGTGCGCGCGACTGCTGTAGGCGTTGCTGGTGGTGCGACCACCCTGGGCACTACAGGTGCTGCCACCGGCTTGTGCGCTGGCACTGTGGTCGGAGCTGCTGTGGGCGTGGTGCCAGCACTCTTTACCTTTGGCCTTTCCATTCCAGTCGGTGCTGCCCTGGGAGGTGGCGCTGGTCTCTTCATGGGCACTGCTGTGGGCGCCACTGCTGGTGCTTTGAGCGGTGGTGCAGCTGGCTATGGCGCCTATGCCAAGCGCGGAGAGATTCAGGAACTCCGCACCAAGACCGTGTCACGTATCTCTTCCGGCGTTGACATCGTGAAGGGAAAGGCGGCCGCCTCTGCGGACTACATCAAGGACAGGGCATCAGCAGCTCGCGCCCGTGTGGTTGGCAAGAGTGCGGCCTAGAGCAGTGCGAATGAGAAGAAGCTAATGCAGTGAATGCAGTGGTTTCCAGTTTTCAAATGTACAGAAGCCTCACCACAGCCCGCTGCGGTGATGTGAGAAGTATTTCGCAAGTGGCAATCGGCATGGGTCGGGGCATGCTGAAACTGAGACGGCTTGGGCCTCTCAATGTCAGCTGCTTTCTGCCATGAGCATTCTCCTTGGCAAGAGGCTGGAGGGAGAAAGCTCTCAAATTCATTTTTTGCTTCGCTGTGATGCAGCTTCGAGGTGAATTGATTACAGTTGGGCAGGAAGCTGTCCAGGCCGGAACAGTTAGGTGATGTTAGGTGCAGTGAGGAGAAAAACAAGATGGTCCCAAATCTATTATCATCACTTGTGTTGGGTTGTAATGCAATTTTTCCCTTGGAACCAGCTCCAAGACCCCCAAGATCCACCTTTGCCACCGCCACCGCCCAAGGTGGAGGTGTTGCAAACGCCGCAAGCGCTGCAACTTGAGCCAGCGCAACCGGTGGCGATGCCGCCGGAGACGCAAGGAGCTTCCTTCGGTTTTGGGTCGGATAATCAGGGGGAAACCTTAGAAAATCATGGAAAATCCAGGGAAAAGTGGTCCCCCTACAAGTGACGCTTCATGGCAAAGGCATCGCAATTTGATGAATCAATACCCGGGTGGACAAATTATGCACAACGTTCATGTTTTGCTTGATTTGATTGCTGAAAATCCTGGCACAGCGGGAGGCCTCATTTTGGTTCTGGATTCTCTTCTGGATGATGCCAGCTTGGCCAGACGATCCTGGAAGTTGGGGGTAGAAACCCATGAAATATCCTAGATATTCCAGGTTTGTGTATGGAGTTATGTGTAATACACCAACGGCTCACCATTTTTATGAAGATTTATTGAGTTCAAGTTTAAGGATCAATAATCCATGTGAATCATGACTCATACTTGTATACCCCATTACCATCCACTACCACAAACAATGTGTTCCCTATTTCTTCCCACAAAATCCTTGGAGTTCGGAAAACCAATCCATGTTTTCATCCTCAAAATCCTTGTGACAAAATCATTTCTCCCAATTGGTACACAATCTTTTTGGGGTAATCCGCTGAGATCAAATCTTTCATTTTCTAGGGGTTGCGGTACATGTCCCAGATTGTACTAGTAGATTAAGAGGATTAAGAGAGGGAAACCAATCCCTTGAAACAAAAACAATGGGACTATCCTCCAAACAAAGATGGCAATGGATGGCAATGGACAATCCTGCTCTGATAGATGATTTCTCCATGTTTTCCCATTCAAATCATGAAACATCTCCATGTTCATAGATGCCTTCCCGATATTTTCCTAGTATAAAAAATCGCAAACCATACAGTAACTACATGTAACTACTTATATAGATGATTTTCGAATTAACCAATGGGAAGTAGTCCCCAAGACAAAGCCACCTAGTAAACCTCCGTGTTTCTTTTAAATGAATAAATAAATAAAACCATAAATATAGCAATAATTATAATATATAATAAAAATAACAATCGATTTTCCAAGGCCAGCTCCCTGCGGAGCTTGGCGGTGGGCTCCGTGATGCTCTTCTGCCTCGACGCCGCCGCGTCGGGCCCCGCGGTGGCCCGGGCCGTGGCCACCCACCTGGCCACCAGGGCTGTGGCGTGCGCCGGGCCGCTGGGAAACATGGAAGCTCGGTGGGAGCGGCGCAAGGGGGAGACTTAGCCCAGAATTTATGGATATTACCCTCTAGTAAACTAACATAACTATGGAAAATCACAATTTTCAATGGGTAAATCCACTATATAAATCACCATTTTCAATAGCTATGTTAAATTACCAGAGGGTATTTGAAAGTTGGATGATATTGGTGCATATTGATTTGATCTTGGATGTTCATGGATATTCTTGGGAGATGTTGGAGAGTTCATGGCAAGTCTTATGGCAAGTTGCAATGATGTCAAATTATTAGTAGTTATGCATTAGAAAGTGAAAACGCAACCACCCCAAAAATTTGGCAAATTTGTTAAACTTATTTTCCAGATCCATTTTGGGGTTCTATGGTAATGTTCCGCGTGGCCAAGATGGGGCTGCGAACGTGTTGTGACTATGTCTTGGAATGCTCCTGGTTGATCTGCAACGTTGGTAGATGTAGGAATTCAGGGCTGCATGCTTGAATCAGCTGTCGAGAATCTATAATCTCGGCGCGCTGGAAGGGACAACCTACACGATCAACCTTGTCTTCTAGATTGTTACCCTCTGGTAATTTAACATAGCTATGCAAAAGCACCATTTTTCATAGATAAATCAACTATAAATGGTCATTTTCAATAGTTAATTAAATTACCAGAGTGTAGATTCGCCCTTTCCAGAGCAAAGGGTCAGCCCTTCGATTGCTGCCAAGGACTTTGCTTGTCTCTATTGCATCCTGCCGGCCGTTGTGGATTTGCAGGGATGGGCTTTTCAAAGTAGCTTGACACAGCTGACCGGCGACACAGCTGAGGTATCTCAGATATTCTGCATAATGCTGGCGCAAATCGATGTCCAGGTGCAAACACCTATCGCTCAGTCTTTGAGGTGCCCATCGATGTTTGGGCCACGGGCCACGGGACCGGAAAAACGCAAAGGGTGGCTGGGTTTCGCTGAGGGAATTGCGGCCGGTTTCGATGAGGATGGGTCAAAATCCATTCTTGCCATATTCAGGGGAATAAACATGAATAAACTGAATAAACCTCCATTAACCAGCTCTATTACGATACCAGGGTTTTGACTCATAGCCACATCAGCAAGATGGTCCACAGCTGCGCTTGAAATTCTGAGTCAAATAGGTCCATGCCGTCATTGCTGCTGACTCGCTCATGTGTAGTGTAGTCTTGAGAGAACGAACATACTGGATAGAGCGAATCTATAAATTAAGATTATATGGAGACATATGCGACAACATACATATAATTATTCAATCATATGCATAGATGGCGATGGAGAGCGATAGATAGATAGATAGATAGATAGATAGATAGATATATGCATATAGCATATTATGCACGTGCCGATGCATGAATGATCATGTTAATGTATTTATCTGAACACTTTGAACACGTCATATCTTTCACTGCGCACGTTTTTTTTTAATCTGCGAGGAGCTTCTTCCCGGCATCTTTCACCGAGTCTATGTGGGTCTTCAGGCGGGTTCCGCTGAGGCGGAGATGCGTGTGAAGCATCTTCTGAAGGACATTCGGCTGAAAAACTGCTGAAGGAGATGGGTCCAGGTTTGGTATGTTTTCGTGATACTCGTAGTTCTTATCTATACTCTAGTTGTATTAGTTGAATTTCTTCTTATATATATATATATTCGAATTTGAAAATGAACATCATGATCATGATGATGATGATGATGATGGTGATGTCCAAGACGGCAGGATAATCACCGAGAATTGGAGGTTGGACCCCCCAGAAATATGGGATATACAGTACCGCGAAATAGTTCGCTTAGCTGTGCCTTGCACCCGTATGTCATGTCTATGACCATCTGTGTTTGGTAGGAACTGGAGAGGTCACTACAACTCCCCATTGCGGACTGTGATGAGGATATCCCCCGATTTTGCCTAGTAGGGTCACCGCCCGTGACCTGCCAAACTTCGATGTTCCAATTTCTGTCCGCCCAGGTTTGGCGCGCTTCGGACTTCTATCCCACTTTGTATCTGGATGGTGCCTAGTCCATTTTCGGACGCTCCAAGATGCTCCAAGGACACCCGTCGCGGCCGGCCGGCCATGGATGCCATGGGGGCTTGGGGCGGTCGCCTGTCGCGGCCCAGGTTTAGAGGCGGCGGCCTTTGGTGGGGCCCTGGCTTTGGAGGCGAAGGAACAGGCGATGTCCAAAGAGATTCGCTTGAAGCTGGGCGCTTGGGGCGGCTTGGGGGCTGGGCTTAGGGTGGTGACCTTTGAACATGGGGATATGCTCATGGGGGGTTGTAGCATTTTGATGGGGAGGTTTTTGTGGGATGCGTAACCAAAGGATCTTCGAGTGTGTCTGAAAATGGGGGATTTTTACCATCCAATTTATGGCAATTCCAATGGGGACAACTAATTAATTATAGTGAATTGGGGACGCCCCATTTTCAGACCAACTCATTTGGATCCATTTCAGGTGTCAAAGGGTGCAGGCAAATTGGACTGATTGAGCGCAAAAAAAACCTGGAAGCTCAGCAGAACGCACCAGATCTTTGCACCTTTCGACTTTCTTTCCTTCAACGCGTCGATCCCAGGAAACTGAATGTCTACAGCTCTTTGGACCTCATCGCACTGGAGCGGCGCTGTCGCAACCGCGGCCTCTTTGGTTCAGGGAGCAGCTCCAAGTCGCTGCTGCTGCGGCGGCTGCGGATCTTTGAAGAATACTGGGCCCAGCGCAGCAAGGACGACGTCCGTGACACGCCGCAGGTGCCGGAGCCGGTAGCGCCGAAGCCGGTGGCGCCGGAGCCGGTGGCGGAGCCGCTGGCGGTGCCGTTGGAGGCTGGAGATGACCTGGATGGAGTGCCATTGGAAGTGGAGAGGAGTGCGGTTTGAATGGTTGAGATGTAGGGGGCCAATGGAGGAGAAATTGGGAGAATGATGGGGGATGCTTTCAAGGATGATCACATGTGGACATTTCTGAGAACACATACGGCCCTTCGGTTGGCGTACTCCCACAAACAAATCTGGCACGCAGGGTCACAGGGGCCAAAACACCTCCTGCCTATCATGTTGACATCACGGCGATCGGTTCGGCTCAACATGTTGAAAACGATGAAATAATTGCCTTTCTAAGCCATTGATGGGGTTTTTAAAGGCCCATGCAATCTGGATTATATAAATGCACAAGGTGGTAATGACACTTGAAGAGTGTGATCCTCCCCAGCTGCGAATGCAACCCACCTCCTTCAGATCACCATGACCATAATGATGATAAGGTGTTGTGCGAAATGCCAGCATTGAGTACAAGCAACAACAACAACAACAACAACAACAACAACAACCACCCAATGCACACACACATATATAATATACATTCTAACAATCAAATGGTAAGCATCGTCACCATCATCAGACTTTTTGTTGCAATAACAATGATAGACAGCATGATGATGGTCATAATTTTCGTCATCATTTTAGTAGAAATAGGCCTACATATTTGTTTTAAAACATGTAGTGCCAAAAAGGCACACACACACACATAAGTTTATATATATATATATGTGTGTGTGCATATACATACATATGCATACATATGTACTGCAACAAGTTGTAACCTATCTGATTCTTAAAACAACACACATTTCCATTCCCCCAGGAGCTCCAAAAGCTCCAGACGTCGCATCACCGCACCCAGCAGATGGTCCTCACTGGAGATGGCGGAGTCATCCCACTTGGTAGGTGCGCTGGGACCAGGGTTTATCCGTGCCATGTTTACCACGACATCTTATTAGTGTTATAATATGTTATAATATACAGTAACTGGTGATGAGAATGGTATATAATAACAACTGATATGTTATAAGATCGTTGCAAAATTATGATAGATTATGTATGATTATGTGTTATTCTTATTAACTCATGACTTATGTTGATCCACTTTGTCATCTCTTGCAACTGGGGTTAAAATCCTGCGCTAAGTTTTATCAACCCATAGCCCGGGGGCAACGCGTTGGATAGTCTCGACCGATTGGACGACACAATCATGTCTTAACTGGTATGGTGTTCAGCACGAAAGGCGAGAAACTGCTTGAATCTGAACATATTTAGGACTAATTAGGTGTAAACAGTGTCAACCAAGAAAACATGAACCACAAAAGCTGAGATGTCGCCAACCAAAAATGATTTCATTCAAAGAAATATGGGCTTTCGCGGCTCAAAAGCACGATTTCCCCAGCAAAAACTTGGTGATTCAACTGTATGGCCTGGCCACAGCTGGTCTGTTGGCCTGGCTTGAAGAGAAACCCACCTGGGCTGTTGGGTGGCTTGGGGTTAAGACAAATAATTACAGTTACCAGGATCGATCAGGTTTCATGTTGCCATTCTAGTATCATTTAGTATCCTTGAAGGCCTTGTGGGAACGTTTGCAGCAAATCACAGATAAGATAGATGTATATATATATATAATTCACGTTAGTGAGCCCCCAATCATGGCTTTGGAAGATATTTTTTTATCGATACTCGATACCCTCTGGTAATTTAGTAATGGAAGCCATGGCCCATCAAAATAGATATACCATGATATACCTATTCAATCCCATTAAACACGGTGATTTTCCATAGCTACCTGCGTTTATAGGGTAAACTGAGGTATCTAACATCCGAAACCGCCAGGTGTAGAGGAGGATCTCGATGGCGAGCCGATCGGTACCATGTCCAAACAGGCATACCATGGGTTTTCCCAGTTTTTTTTGCCCTAAAAAATCCATTGAAATTGGAACAATGATAATACTGTAACTTCCATGGAGTTTGTTGCCCCAAAAAATCGGAGAAACGGAACCCATGTTTTTTGGAGTTTTCCAGCTGCCTTGGTGGGTTTTCAACATTTCTCAACACCTGGTGGTACGCTGAGGTGTGTTGGAACTTCAACAATGGCGTGCAGCCAAAGCCGCTGCCAGCTTTCCAGCGCCGGTTGGGTGGGAGACCACAGGTGAGCTGCAGGGATTTCCGACGGGAAGTGTGTTGGAAATCAAAAAAAAGTGCGTCCTGACCAGTGAATACTCAAATCTTCAGCCGGACGTGCAGTGGTAACGCCACTTCCTTGTAGACGCAAAGAGTGACGGTGGGAGCCCAAATTTTATGGCAAAAACAGCTGGTCACACTTATACACAACGTCCGCTAAAAGGGTATCGCACTAAGCCCGCTGTCCAGTCCACAAGATAACAAAAGCTATTCATATTGCATCATATTACTATGCTTGTGAAGGTATATGTATATCACACACATGAACCTGTGTATATATATATGAATATGATTGAATATGAAAAGATGCATACACAGAGGTCATCATGATGTCATCATGCAATTACTACCCGGGATGCAGATCATACCGCCCAGCTAAGCAAGAAATCCACGCGACGTGCCTAAGACGATGAGATGCAAGGAAACGAGAAAACCAGAAAACCAGAAAACCGAGAAAACCGAGAAAACCAGAAAACCGAGAAAACCGAGAAAACCAGAAAACCGAGAAAACCGAGAAAACCGAGAAAACCGAGAAAACCGAGAAAACCGAGAAAAGGAGAAAACCGAGAAATGCGGCCAATAGTGCTAGTCTCCTCGGCGTTTTCCTGTTCTCGCAGTTTTCGCGTTTTCGCGGTTTTCGCGTTTTCGCGGTTTTCGCGTTTTCGTGGTTTTCGCGTTTTCGCGGCTTTCAATGCTCTTGCAGTTTTTGTGGTTTTTGCGTGTTTCGCGGTTTTCGTAGTTTTCGTGTTTCGCGGTTTTCGCAGTTTTCGCGGTTTTCGCGAGTTTCGCGTTTTCGCGGTTTTCGCTGTTCTCGCAGTTTTCGCGATTTTCGTGGTTTTCGTGTTTCGCGGTTTTCGCAGTTTTTGTTTTTTGGCTGCTTGCGCCGTTCTTGTTGTTTTCGCATTTCCGCCTTTGATATTTCCATGCCATATTATGTTCAAACAGAAATCTAAATAGAGAAGTGCCGGTTTCCTTGTCATAACAGCCATTTGCAGACTTGCAAGCACACACACACACACTTACATTACATGTCTCTTACCTTTACATTTACAATCTATATATATAATTATATATATATACACATAATATGCGTACTACACTTACATGTTCATGTACTTGCATTTTTGTGCACACACCAACCCCTCCATCTGCTCATACATCAACACATAGATACATAGATACAAAATGATACACAGATACAAAAGTGCATACATAGGCAGAAAGATAGATACAAAAACATATTTCGAACACATCAGAGGACACTCCCATGCAATACAATACAAAGGAGTACAGCACAATACAACACAATACAAGACAGACAATACGCTACGCCACGTTACTTTACAACACAACACATACGGACAAACACGCAGTACATTATGTTAATTTCGTTTCCTGCCCTTACCTTAGATTACCTGCATTGCATTGCATCAAACTACATTCTACTACATTACATTGCACTACAGTATATTTCACTGCCTTACAATCCATTGCGTTACACTACGCTGCATTGCAATGATGTAATTCCAAGGGTACTAACACACATATAGGTACATACATAGAAATATGGATGTATACATAAATACACTGATTCTAGCATAGATGCATATGCACACATGTATGGCAAACATCCTTACACACACACACACACGCCAAAGATACCGAGATTCATAGACGCATAAATGCACAACATGCTATGATGTTACGCTGCATTTCATATACGTAGATCATGTGAGAATCGTACATACATCGGTACATGCATGTTTTCGTTGTGTTCACCGTCCGATTCATGGCAAGGCATTCCATAATGTTCACACATAGAGACATTCATAGATACATAGAGACATACATAGATACATAGAGACATATATAGAGATATACATAGAGACATACATAGAGACATACAAAGAGACATACATAGAGACATACATAGTTACATAGAGACATACATAGCTGTACACATACAAAGATACATACAAAGATGCATCCCACTTCGTTGTGCGGCATTACATTTTGTGTTACGTGACGCCACACGACACCGCAATGCTGGATTTCACATTATACACACTCATCCATGCATCCAAACACACTCACATATATGTTGCATTACATGCATAAATGTGTATGCCCGTAAATGAATGTACATCGTGTATATATATATATATGTATTTTATATATATACATGTATATAAATGTATAATATATATATGTAAAACATATATGTAATATATATATATATTTGTATATGTATAATATAAATATATATGATATATGTATATATATATATGATATACATATATATATAACATATGTATATATATATATATATATGTAAACCATATATACATATAAATATATGTGTGTAATATGTATAAATATATATATTTATATTAGTATAATATAAATATATGTATAATAGATATATGTATAATATATATATATATATATGTGTATAATATATATATATATGTATAATATATATATATATATATGTAAACCATATATATATATGTAATATGTATACATATGTATGTAAAATATCAATATTTGTATAATATATATTTATGTATACTATGTATAATTATGTAATATATATATATATGCAATATATTTTATATTGGTTGAGTTGAAATTACAAGGCATTACATCACATGCATCATATTACAACGCGCTGCGCCAGCTACATAAATAGATACAAAGATCGATGCAAAGAGACACACATGCATGCATACATACGTCCGAAACATGCATGCACACGTGCCTGCAGGCATAAAGGCAGTCCGTTAAGTTTCATTATGTTGCCACTTTTCCTTTTGCTTGCATTGCAATGCACCACCTCAATAAATACATACAAACAAACAAAGATGCCAGCATAGATGAGAACATAAATGCAGACTACATAAATATGCATAAATATGTCCGTCGAATTTTGATTAAAACACGGATGCATAACAAGAACACTAAATACAGGTAGATTGGGTGACAGAACATTAAAGGTTGGGAAGGATTAGACAAGCGATAGAGGAAATACAGATAAATAGATAGATAGATAGATAGATGGATAGATAGATAGATGGATAGATAGATAGATAGATAGACAGATAGATAGAGAGATAGAGAGATAGAGATATAGAGAGATAGAGAGGTACGTAGGTAGGTAGGCAGATAGATAAGGCGAAGATAGGTGATATACAGATGGACGGGCAGATAGATAGACGGCTTGGTAGATTGATCGATAGATAAACAGAGAGATGACGAGAAAGAGAGGGAGAGAGAGAGAGTGGGATAGATGCATGGATACACAGATACATAGATACATCAATACATAGATACGTAGCTTAGATACATAGCTTAGATACATAGCTGAGATACATAGCTTAGATACATAGCTTAGGTACATAGCTTACATAGATAGATGGATGGATGGATATGATAGATCGGATAGATTAGATAAAACAGATTGACTAGATAGATAGATTACAATAGATAGATAAATTAGATAGATTAGATAGATTGGATGGACGGACGGATGGATGGATGGATGGATACGTAGGTATAGGTAGCTAGCTAGCTAGTTAGGTAGGTAGGTAGGGCTAGAATGAAATATAGATCTATAGATACCGTAAAAAACATTCACATCACATGAACCTGCATTCCACTACTCTGTACTTGAAGTCCCAGTGCAACACAGATCAACACCGCTATTGCAGCGCAATATAATTATTTTGCATTGACGTGCCGCTAGATCCGGAGATGATCATAGCTGTCCAACTTTCGCGCTCTTGTACTTCCGTGCGCGTTTTCGCGTTTTCGCGGTTTTCGTGGTTTTCGCGGTTTTCGCGTTTTGCTGCCCGTTTTCGCGTTTTCGCGTTTTGCTGCCCGTTTTCGCGTTTTCGCGTTTTCGCGCGAAAATGCCGCGCATCACCAAAGGCCGAGACACACACATTTCCTGCACAGCCGCCCAGCAGGTACTCCGTTGCCCTTGATGCCAGCGATTCCGATGCCGCCCGCGCCTGCTGAAATCGTGGCTCGGTAGATGGGCGATTTGGGTCGTTTTTTTGTTTTAAACATGTGCCCTCCAAACCCCGGGTTCGCCCACACTCAAACAACACATCCAAACAATATGATATACTTATCACCAGAGGATGAATGAAAACACTGGCTATACGCAGTGATTTTGACTTTTAAGTTTTCAGGATTTAGGGTTTTAATTCCCAACAGCGAATCTGTTGGGTTTCAATCTCTGGGGCCGGGGACTGGTGACATGAAAATGCACGCCCCGAAAAACAGTCCTGGAAACTTGCTGGAACCTTTCGCTGTGGGGTTGCAAAGCTGGGCTAATTTAGGGTTTAGGGTCTTAGGTTTTAGGGTTTTAGGGCTTGTTGTTTTGGAAAGTAAAAACACTTAAAGCCTACGCAGGGATTTGAGCATGTCAAAGGATATGCGGGATTCGCCGCAGGCAAACCTAGGGTTTGCAGCGAACATGTTATGATGGGTATGTATGTGTATGATGTGTTTATTCATATGGGCAGGCTACTATAGGCTACTTGTGTCAGTACCTAGCTGCTCGACCCATCCCAAACTAATAAACAACATGCTGCTAGTGAAGGTGTATGGAAAATGAATGAAAATGACCCAAGTGGTGAAATACGGTACAGGCCCATGTCGTAGCACTTATATTATATTGGTTTCAGATTGTCTTGCCACTGGCGGGCATGTTTTTCCAAAATTGTGACCTTGTGTGACCTTGAGACTACTGGGATGTTCCCTCAGCATCTCCGACCCCAACTGCCCCTTGCAGAGGTCGAGTTTGACTCTGCCATTGATGAGCTGCTTTCCGCTTCGTGGGCGCAAGCAGTCGAGGCGAAAATGGCATAGTTTCACCCTCAGTTTTTATCCTTTGGAGGTTGCTTCCCCCAGAAGTTAACACCAAAAATCCTAAAAAATGGCGCTATCCCATATATTTTTGGGTTCTCAAAATCCTAAAAAAAGTGGGATATATATATAATTATATATATATATATATATCTATATCTATATTTATGTGGCAACACATTTTTCCCAACCCTTTCCAAAGCCACATTTCTTGCTAGCCAGGAGAGGCAGCCATCTACCGAGAGGCCTCGAACAGAGGCCCTGGGACTTGTGGCAAATTCCTTGTTTGAGACAATCTGATGTATCGGTTATATGAGTTATATGTCTTCAGGGTATACTTAAAATGAATAGAACATATAAGTACTTAAACCCTAGGTTTGGGGTTCGATATGGGTCCGGAAATGGCTTGATGGAAGATTTCATTTTGAGAAACCTGCACCAAATTTGCCAAACAGCTTCAGTTTCTGGCCAAGGCTGCCATGGTTTCATGATGGAAAGTCACTCAGATCGATTCCCATTTCCCACTTGGTTGATTCATAGAGGGGTCCATTGAACAACCGGCAAATGGAGCTACATATAGCTACATACATGATTGAAGTCAGACCAGTCATGAGTGTAACACCGAGAATTAATCAAGCCCTAATTTTTTTCATAGGGGGGGAAAGATTTTTCATGGCAATGCATCACTGGTTGCCAGCCCGTCAGCCCGGCTGGCTTTAGGCTACTTCACGTGCTCAAGCTCGAGGCTGGGAAACACCCGCGGCATCCCACAGCTTGCCAACACAGAAACATCAGAGTACTGAGGTACTGAATATCTGACGGTGGCAGTGAACCATATTCAAGCATGCCAAATATGCCAAGGGATTTCAGAACATATAGAAAAATCTTGGGCGCTTGCAATGATAAGTGCTGGACAACTCGGAGACTGTCCTGGCATCCGGTGGAAGGCATGAGACCGACCAAGCCTCGGTGGCCGAAGGTGCCGACATCGCAGCCGACATCGATATCTTTTTGTGTCAAAAAAATGTCTAAATTAAGTGGTCATTCGAAGGGAACCTTTACAGGAACATTTTCCATTTTATGAAAATGGGTGTTTTCAAACAATGGCTTCTGCTGAGGGTAAACCCAACGGATTACTGGGATGATCCCCTACGGTAGTGATTCATGGATATCAATGGTTTGGTAATCACACATGGTTTGCTGGAACATCTTCCATTTAGATCCATTTAGATATATTATGATATATTTAGTTAATTTAGTTCGATGATTTACCTACTATTTTGATGGTGATGTTCCAGTTCGCAAACTGTCGAAGTACCACAGGGTAAATCCCATGATATCCCATTGTATTCCCATAATAGACCCCGCCAAATCCCTATTGTTGTTGGTTTAGCATAGGGAAATTTGCCTGATTGTCTCATGATCATCCCATGATATTCCCATTATATGCCAGTTAAAAATCCAACTGGACAGAAATTCAAGCCGCAGCCAGTTGCCAGTCAGGCCTCGACCTCCAGATCTCGGCGGAGAGAGAGGAGGTGGGACTTTTGAAGATGTTTTTCGCAGCTTCCTATGGCAAGAAAAGATCATGATTTAGTATGATTTAGTATGATTTAGTGTGATTTGATGTATTTCATTGGCAAACATGTTGGTTCAGAAGCTGATGGACATATTTGAGGTGGATTGAAATATGGTTTTCATCTGCTTTCGTCCTCGAGCGAAGCAGATTTCACTGCTGAGTCAATCTGAGTATCGCCAGGAGAAGCCTGAGCCGCAGGTCTAAAGGCACCGGCACCCCGGATGGAGGGGTGTTGGGAGGGGGTGTATTCGATTCTGTAGTTTCGCAAAGCCAATGCCATAAACCTACCATTTGGGCATGATATTACTCACCCATCTATGGTAATACCGGGGATGATTAATAATTGGTTTTACCACATTATGGGATATTGGATAATTTGGGTAATTAACATATTGGATCATTATATGTATATAAATATTGGATAATATGGGATAATGTTTTGGGATAACATGGGTAACATATGAATTATGGGATATCTATTGAAAACGATTGTTGTTCCCGGTTGTGTATATATTAGTCATGTTTTAACATGCTGTGTTTTCCAGGAAGCCAACGTAGTCATGCAAAAAAGGTGGCCATTGAGTTCCATGATTTACCCTCTGGTAAAGTAACAGTTTGCTATTGAACATAGCCATTTATAGTTGATTTACCAATTAAAAATGGTGATTTTCCATAGTTACGTTAGTTTATCAGAGGGTACCTATTAAACATGGTGTTATTCCGTACAATAACATACAATAACCATGTTACATTACCAAAGGGTAAGCGACTGGAACACAAACATCCCAGATGAACACAGCAAATCCAAGATCACCCGCAAAAAAGTAGCTGAGAGAGATTGAGAGTTGGCAAACTAACGTGCATTAGCCATTTTCCAGACGACTAAACATGCTATTTCTCTAAAATTTTCGGGGATCATTTCACTCTCAGAAGAATTGATCGAATGATCCTCCAGACCCAACATTTTAGGCCGGTGAACTAATATTCAGCCAGATGATTTTGGATTTCTTGGCTTGGTAGCCATCATTATAATTGCGATTACGAACCATCACAGATTGGGATTTTTTTTGGGTGGTAAACTCTGCAAAACCTCCAATGCACACTGCAGCATCAGGTCGTGCAGGCCGCGAGGGGAGGTCAAGACGACGTCGAGACAGGGAAAGCAATGCGCCGCTGCATCCCAGTTTGGCGGTGCCCTTAGCGATCCCTGCAACTCTCTGAGATTGACAACTGGGCAACGTATCAAGACATATCAAGACATATCAAGACATATCAAGACATATCAAGACATATCAAGACATATCAAGACATATAAAAACATGACTACAGTCCACGAAGCACATTGAAACACAGAACTAGCACACCCAGGAGTTTTACGGTACACGGCTCGTAACTATTCTAAAAGGAAGATAAATAAGACTAGCAAATCACTGGCTCATGATCAAAAACCTGTTGTTTTCCATTTGGGGGTCAACGGATCAACATCGGCCGAGGCTGCACCCCGCGCAGCGGCTGCAGCTGCTGCGGCCGCAGCTGCCAATGCCGCAGCATTTCTTTCTGCCAGGTCTCGCGCAGCCCAACCCGGCTTTGAACATCCTGCGCCCCTGTGACTCGTTGCGGGGAAAAAGGTGCAAAAATCCATCCCCATCCCTAGAATTAGTTTATATAATTTATATAACATCTTATGTTTATATTACACAATTTTTGTATATTAATGACTATTAATGTATATTATATTATGACTTTATCCTGTCTTCACTTTCCAGCTGGCATCAACTGGGAAGTTGGTTTTAGGGAGCTTCCTTAGCCGCTGGAAGCCGCTTCCACATCATTCCTGATATGGCCTCGGGCCTCGGACATTTTTCAGAACAACATTTGCGGAACAAAATGGTCCCTCAATCTTGACCCAATTAGGGATCCAAGCATGGGGATATTGGGGATACTGTCCTGAAACACACATGGTTCCTCCAAAAAAAGGACCAACAAAATGACGCGAGCAGTGTTCAAAACCCGGTGTTGTCGCTTGGTACTTTGGTACTGGCTGGTCATATATAATAGGATCTCCGAGATCGTGGATCATGACAATCCCCAACATTTTTCGGGGGGGGCATAATCCCGTCCAAAAAGTCAATGCTGAGGCAAAGGCAACGCCTGAAGGCGAGCCCTTTTTTTTGGATCCCAAATGTTCCAAAGGTTGGCTCCAACTTGGTTTGGTGATGAACTTGCCTGGCAGTTCAAAGTGACCATTCAGTTTTTATTGCTGTTTTTTTTTTTGGGTGACCGGTTCAAGTTTTTGTTTGGCGGCCTCAAGCTACCGGGGTGAATGATAAGTCACTCGCTGGCAGTCTGTGACCCCTGAACCGGATGCCGAACTGGATGGTGACCCGCTCAGCGACGAGGACTGACAGCAGGACATGGTGAAACATGGTGAAACCAGATGTGTGAATGCATGAATTTGGCATTTTTAATGGGGAAAAGAATCCATGAGAACTATCGACCTTTTAAAGGCCCTATCATATTGAAATGCACTGATCGTTATCTAGTTATGGGATTGTTTTTCCATCCAGATGGTGCTACCGTCATACCTTGGATGGCCAGTTTGCCAGGACTTTTAGCAGCACTGTGGCAAAAAAAAGAGGGTCTTGAGGGCAAAGCAGGATGGACACGTCCCAAGGAAGATCGGGAAGGATCCTTTTCCAAGTGTATATTGGGGCTTGCGTTTAGGGCTGAAGCTTGTCGCTGGATGCCTTCCGAAGTCGGCTCGCAAAGATCAGCCGGGTGTCAACACGTTTCAACTACAGTACTCTGCCACCAGAGGGCCCAAAGGGTCCAAAATCAAGCAATAGAACATCTATGAATATCTTAACTTAAGATTAGTTGTTGAAACTTTAAGCCTTGCCATCTTGCTGCAGTCTTTCCATTGACTTCCCATTTCCAAACCGAAAGTTGACTGGTAGACTGTTCGGTTTGGCATTGAAAGACAACATCCGCTGCTCGCCATGGGCATTTGTCCATCGCGGCATGTGGCATGCAAGAGGCGTGTAGAGGAGGACGGAAGTGCTTGGGACGTTCACCTGCCAAGAGTTTGCCGGCCTTGACATTGTGTTCAAAAGCAAAATTTTTCGGCACGGGAAAGCTGGTAAACCATGGTAAACCCGAAAACCAACCTATGTACATCAACCATCATCAACCTACTGTCTGGGATCGATTATACAATTGTACCATCCTTTTATGGTTGTCGGGGATGGTTCATGATTGGGTTTACCATGGTTTACCACATCAATTAAATGCATGTAAATGAGGGTTAAAGCAACAAACTGACATGGCATGTATATAGAGAGGGCTAGATAGGAGGTGGATATTGAGACCTACATTGCCAGCTGTCAATGACTTAGATGACGCTCCCTTGGGGTCATGCTTTCTTTGAATAATGACCGGACTGAGGCTTACAACGTAGATTCCAATTCGTTTATAGTCAGAGGACCCAAAAAACAGTGAAGTCGATTGGCTCTATGTAGTATAGAAATCACTCAAATCCAGGGCTCCAAGCGAACCATTCCAGGAGCATGGTGCTGTCCTGAGCTTCCAAGGGTCTATGAACTATGGTATTGCCGCTGCGGTAGGGCATTTCCACATTTTTGGGAGTTGAACTTCACCTGTTTTAGGGATGAAATTCCAAAAGGTGATTCAGTGATAGCTTTTGGAGAACAAGTCTCAAAGTCTCCCCAGTTTGATGGGATGGGTTCCTATGGGAGTCCCGTTTTCAGACAAACCTGGCACTGCAAGGTGGTGCCCCTCACACTTATGTTTGTTGAGTTAACTAGTTCGATATCTACCACAAACTCAACAGTTGAGCTATGTCAGCCAACTTAGCTCACGCACATCACCCACTCAATCCTGAGTTTCCATGAGTAACCTCTGGTTGAACCACCATTTTTATCCATTTTTCCTCTGGTTGGTGGATGAAATCCTATGGATTTCCCAGCGTTTAACTTGGCGTTGCCCAAGGTACCACTGGCAACGTCCAGCTGGTGATCCACAACTTGGCTGGAGAGCAGCGCCGGACCCAAACATGGGAAGTGGCCAGGACATTTTGGAAAAATGGGACCAAAAATGGGACAAACATGCGAAACATGTCTCCGAATCTTCTTAGAATGAAGCTGGTCAGATTCGATCTGAGATTCGAACTGAGATTCGCGGAAAAATGTGTCTCCTGTTTAAATGACAAGCGCATTCTTGTGCTGAGGGTCAGGGTTGAAGACTCATCTTGGTCCAAAAAGTGTCGTTTTAAGCTATGGCTATGAGCCATTTTTGGGGGGTTCACCTCCTTCCAACTCCCAATCCCACCGCAATGACGACGCTGAGCTATTCGTCCCCTTGGAGCCGTTGAGTTTCTAAGTGACCAGCGTCCCAATCAACCTCCCAGGCTGTCGTTGACGCGTCCCTCAGCCTGCCAGCTGCACGAGATCTTGGAGGCAATCCACAAAGAATGGAAGATACCCATTCTCGCGCAGTGCCTTGGGCGGTCCTGTGGATGGGAGGCAACCCAGCATGATTCACATGAAGAACATACTGTATCACGGATGTATCACGGATGTTTTTGGGATGGTATAAGTTCTATCAGATTCTATCACCAGGAACATTTGGGTAATTTATGTTAACAGTCATCATTGGAGAACAGTTGTGGTTGTTTCGTGGGCCTTTGGTATCACCTAGGGTATCACCCAAGAAGATGGCCATATCCAGGTCTCTTTCTGCCTTGGATTGGGCACCATCAAAATGTGGATGTTGACCCTTCGGGTGACCAATGGGGATGAAGGATCGAAATGGTATGATTCAACCACTTACCCTCCGGTAAACAAACAAAAAGCTATTGAAAATTGCCATTTATAGTTGATTTACCCATTAAAAACGGTGATTTTCCCTAGTTATGTTAGCTTACCAGAGGGTACACATGAGTGTCAATTGGCCTGGATTGGCTGAGTAATGATTCTTTTGCATATTCCCACTGGTTAATCCAGCAGAAATGAGAAGGCTACTACTGGCAATCAATCCTTCGAATAGATTTTTTGGGTTTAGCAAAGGATTGTTCCCGAGCTGTCCATGTCTTGATATCTCAGATGATGTGACTCAGTAAATTCAGATTCCAGATATTTGGCAGGAGATGGGGCCATAGATATAGGATCTAGGCTCAAACATAGATATATTATATATTTATATTATAGATAGGATATGGTAGGATATAATTTCGGAGCTACCCGGAAAATATCGAGACCCCGGGTAAAATATTGAGGGATCTACTCCAAAAAGGATGGAGATCCCATGGGTCACTGCCTGAGGCGTTTGGTGCTGAAAGATGACACCCGGCGAGTCGGCGAGTGGGTTCACGTGGGTTAAACCAGGGAATCCATGTCCAAATGGACGGCGAAAATCTGTGGCGAAGTCTCCCCATATCGGGCTATATACATGTTTTTTTTGGGATGTTAAACGGCAAATCTGGGGATATCAACCAACTGCCCACCGTGAGGAACGACATGAGGATATTGGTCCAGGACCACCTGTTCCGGTTCCATGACCACAGATTGGGCGATCCAGCAATGGACTTTCATCAGCTCATTTCAAAAAATGAATGAATACACAGGGACATTCAATTGCAATGATTCAATGGATACATCGAGACTCATCAGATCTTGCAAATAGAATCAAAGAGATGAACAGCACTACAAAGCTTACGATAAAACATAGATACCCTCTTGTAAACTAACAGTTCGCTCTGAAAAAATCATCATTAAGTTCGGAACATCAACTATATATTTCCTCCACGGGCCATGTTCAAAAAAGTGCTATGTTGCCAGGGCTTCGCTTAGCATTTTGGGTACCCTCTGGTGAACTAACATAGCAATGGAAAGATCCACCATTTTTGATGGGAAAATCCACTATTTCTATAGCCATTTTCCATTGCTATGTTAGTTCACCAGAGGGTAAACCATGGACACATTTGATGTTCGCGGCCACGACATGGATGGACCCAGGAAGTGGTGTCTCAATCCTCGGGTGCCATCGGCCGAATCCTGGGACTGCCCAGCGGTGGTGAGGTCGTCGCTTGGTGGAGTTTTTTTTTTCTCGGAGAGTTCACCAAGAAAAAATGGGGAACAAAAATGGGTTAATAGTGGTTAATAGTTGGTTAATAGTTGGTTTATAGTTGGTTAATAGTTGGTTTATAGTTGGTTAATAGTGGTTAATAGTGGTTAATAATAATGGTTACCATTTGGTAAAAAATGGGGAACATACCCTCCGGTCATTTAACCCCTGGGTGGCATGGGGGATCATAATTTCACCCATAGTAGAGAAATCTATCAACCAAGTAATTTACCATCTGGTTATTTAACATAGCCATGGTATAGATGGCCCATAGAAATAGATGGTTTACCGTTCTTAATAGCATGGTGATTTTCCATGGCAAACTGTTAAATAAGCAGATGGTACAGTTTGCGAAGTTGAACATGGGCCATGGAAATAGTTGATCTGCCGAACTTTTCCAGATGGTGATTTTCCATAGCGAACTGTTAGTTTACCAGAGGGTAAATACGAATAAATTGAATAAAGAGAAACAGTCCTGGTTTGTAGCTGCCCCTTTGCCTGACATGCTCGCCCCTCAGTTTCAAGACATAAGGCGATGAAGAAAAAAAGGGTCCTGTTCCCGTGTTTTGAGGTTTGCACACCCTTCCGAGTGGAGAAATTAAGGGGTTCAAATGTGCTGAGAAAATGACGGCTTTTCACCTCACCGTTGACTGTCACTTGGGGATCAGCATGGATCAACTATTTCTTTGCTGGTGGCAATCCCAGTATATCCCATCCGGCATTTGATCCATATGGGATGAGATCAACCATCCAAGCTGACTAGAAGCCCGACAGCAAAAAAAACAAACAAAACAGAACCCATATGGCCATATGGTACTGTAACTTACCTATGGTATGGCCATCATATGGCCATCATATGGCCATATGGTACTGTAACTTACCTATGGACACCTATGGAAGATTATGGGTATCAAGACTCACCGTCTTACTGGTGGCTTCCCGGCATCAGGAACTTGTTTGCCTGCGACACTTGGATTGCAAACCGAGGAACAGCCCAAGAGGATCCAAGAGGTAGGTGTTTCATGGTGTTTCATGGTGTTTCATGGTGTTTCATGGTGTTTCATGGTGTTTCATGGTGTTTCATGCGTAGGATCTAGATATGAAAAGCATTCGTGCAGCTTTGGAGAACGAGGTCAGGCACGCAAAATACGATACGGGAATGGAGAAGAAGGGAGACACAATCAGTCGGTTACGTGATGTACCAAATACTTTCTGTGGCTCATGTGAGTTCGGCAAGAATGATGGTTTATCAAACAGCGAACGGGTTAAGCGGATAGAACATGATGGAAACAGTCCTTTGATTGACTGGCGTTTTCCCCATGGTTATGATATCACAGATATAGAGGTCCCAAAAAAGATAGGATCTTATCCCAGGAGGGTTTGAGGATGTTTCCCCCAGAATATCTCCAGGTTTGCACCTTTTCAGCCTTTCAGCAGAGCCTTGCTGCAGAATGGTTGTGGTAAATGAGGAACCTGCCATTCCCAAAAAATCCCTGAATGTAAATTGGATGCATCTGGGTTGTTTATATTAGTTGATATTATATAATAATGATAATGCTAATAATAGTATTATTAGTAGTATGAGTATGCAAATGCACACACACACACACTCACATATGTATACGACACACACACACATATATATATATATACACATGCATATATTTCTAGATGCATACATGATGACCAGTATACAAACAGAAACACACACACACATATATATATATATATTATATATATATATAATATATATAATATAAATATATATACGCATATTAAGAGCCATGGCAGACTACACCAGGAACAACGTAACATGACCTGTGCACCCTCCAGTGCACGACAGACATCACCCGCTGGCCCGTGAGGCAATCAACTCTCATTTGAAGTGCAAGAGTCTCTAGACCTCAGGCAGTTTCAGCGGGAAGGTTTCACGAAAATCTGGGGATACTTTTGTTTGAAAACAAACATGGGGGAATCAACCAAAATGATAGTACCATTGCTATTTGTTATTATAAAATCATTGCCAAAAAAAACAAATCGCTTCAATCCACTTCAATCCACTTCAAAAACATGGAGGCCGGAACCACATCACATCACAATGGGCATCTGACGATCCTGGCCTCGGGCCAGGCTCTTCGATGCAGTTGCAGCTAGTGCGGACCTCGGCCTGAACTGCTGAGATCTGGGCGGCACCTTTCTTTTGACATCGCAGTGCAGGTCTACACGATATCGGATACGATATGATAATATATGATACATAGATATATGATGATATATGTATATAACAATATTTATATAGATAGGAAATTGGGATGTGAACCTTCTGTTCTTTTGGTTGCGTCTACACTTTTAGTTGGTTAAGTTTGCGCTGGCCATTTTTGCGTTGCCTCCACATGGGTACTATTCCGACTATTCCCAATCATTTCTCTTGCTTTTTGTGGTGATTTGCCATATTTTCCTGCCAAGATTATATAAGATCTCCAATTTATTTCCGGCATCATTTATACCACGTGGTGAACGGAGGGAGCGGAGTTCGGAGCTAGGGGTATCAAAAAATTCCCAACAAAAGCCATGTGGGAACCAGTCAGTCCAACTGGATAAGTTGGTTTATATACCCATTAAATCCCATGAATTAGTATAGTTACCCTCCTGTAAACATACCAGATGTGGAAATCCCACCATGAATGTAGATCATTTGCCTAGGGAACCTATGGTTTTTCCACATGCCACCAGGCGACTACGCCGAGATCGCCGCAGCCCTGATTGATGGGGCTGGACCTGGAGTACCAGACCAGGAGCGAAGTCAACAGCAGTTGAAGAATGGGGAACATGTCACTATGAGGATAAAGCATGAGAATATCCTGTTGTTTTTTTTTAAAGTTAAATTGGAAATCACAATGGTTTTATAGGCTTAAAAACGAACGATCATGGGAGTATCATGGGAATATCATGATAATGGTAATGATAATGATTTTGCATAAAATCTGATTCCCACGGGAATATTCAGGGTATGATCGGAATAAACAATGGTTTCTTATGCTTTACTATGGCTGGAAAATAAGGAAAATAAGGAAGAACTCTCTGGACAAATTAGAACGACCTCACTGTGACGTCGCTGGAATGACGGGATATGGGTTGGGGGAACTATCCCCTGCCGAAGCTTTTCCAGGTTTGTGATCTCCGAATTGGTTGAAGTGTAAAGTAGGAGGAAACCACCATTTTTGTGAAAGGATGAAAGGAAAAACACTGGTTTCTTATGGTTTCCTGCAGACTTTCTCTAGACCAATCCTTTGATCAGCCCTGGTCAGCATTAATCCCATGCCCCTGATATTAAACACCTCTCAGAAACCATCGTTTAGCAGAGGGTTTACACATATTTGGGACCATTTAAGGGGTGTTTAATATTGGGGGGATGGGATTATATACCGGGGGTACAATCACAAACGCACTCAAAAGGGATTGATTGGTGATCATTGTTCGTAGTAGTGATGATGCCATGGCAGTCATAATCATATCACAATGATCATAGCAACAAAAGAAGTAACATGTAACGGCAATGGCAACGCTGATTGCAGTAAGAATGCATAAGTTGTAAAAACATGCGTGATAATAGAAAGATGATAGTGCTAATTGTAACAACAAAAACAACAAAGTCAATAATAACGAGCAATAACGAACAACAATATCAATAACAACAACAATAATACTCGTACTACCTTGTTACTAACAAGTCAATCATTACTATAACATAGTACTAATAATACCAAAAATAGCAATATTGAAAACAATCATCGATAGAGAATAATCCTCCTCCTCATCACCATCAATAATGACAGCAATATACAATCATGTCTAGTCATATTACTGTAATATTAAGATCAAGAAACATACTAATAAACAATTATCAATCATACATAGCAATCAGCATACTATAACATACTATTAAGAACCATACTCATAAACATATGGCAGTGTGTCAAAACCTAGTCTGTAGTTCACATCAAAATAGCTGGGTTAAAATGGATGTTCATCCCACTAAAAATGGTATTTTCATAGGTATTGATCCATAGCCATATCAATCATACAATTACCCTCTGGTTATTTAACATAGCCATGGAAAATGGCCCATAGAAATAGATGGTTTACCTGGGTTTACCTATTAAAAATAGTGATTTTCCATGGCGAACTGTTAAATAACCAGAGGGTATCAATAATCTCCACCGCTAATCATCACCGCAATTACCGAGATTTCCGATCCCCAGGACTCCAAGGCACCTTCGGCCTTCCTGACGGCTTTGGCCCTGAAGGATCGCGAAGCGGAGCAGATGCTGTGGGACGCAGGTGGAAGCCACGGCCAAATGCTTCCTGTGTGCCACATTTGTCATAGATTTGGGCACTTGTTTGGCGTTTTTTTGCCGATTTTTGCAGATTTTTGGGCTACCGTAATTTTTCTTGTGCAAATTTTGAGGTAAATGTAGGAAAACAGACTGCGCATGGAGTATTCGACCGGTTCAACCGACAGAAAATGGGTAAATTGATCCAATACTGCAATTGCTGAATGGGGACATCTATCAAGAAGCCTGGGGAATGCAAGCAAAAAGAAATGCAAAGCATAAACGTTTGGCGATGCACCGGTGCACCCCAACAGAAACACACCCAATCAACAACCATGATAGCACCATAAACAAATTGGACAAACACAATAACTGGTTGGTGGTTTGGAACATTTTTTATTTTCCATAATATATGGGATAATCCTTCCCATTGACTAATATTTTTCAAGAGCCCCTTTGCTCAGAACCTTCCAGCTTGGTGGGGCAGATCAGACTGATCCTGAGTGGTCAGTTGTCGCTTTGGTAGCAGCAATGGAACCTGTTCTTTTACCGGGCTCTTGGGGTACGTTGGAAAAGGGACAAAGGATCCCGGCTGTCATGACTGTGGTGTGTAGAGATTCTGAAGGAACTCAGCACTTGGTTAGCTCCAACGACCGCAATATGGTGAAGATTTGGTTACGAGGTGTGATTCCCAATGGGAGGGTTTTAACTGGGATAGGCCTGTTGGTGATTTCCATTTACCCTCTGGTCCTTGCCATTGACGAAGCAGCCTGGGTTGTGTCGGTCCCTGAGTGTACCTGGTCTTCCACATGTCAGGTCATAGAAGTCTGCGCTGGCTTGGGTGGATTTTCCAAAGAAGCAGCGAGGGTCGGTCTGTCGGTCATGGCAGGGGTTGATGCTAACAAGGTTTGGACTACCCTGTTCTCGGTCATGCATGAAGGTGCTCAGTTTCATGTTGGTGATCTTGCTGATCCACATGTGCTTCAAGCTCTGGTTGACCAAGGTGGTTTTCATGCATGCATGCTGTCAGGGGTGTCATGCCAGCCGCACTCACGTCTTGGTGATGGTCAGAAGTCTGCAGATGTCCGAGCTCAGTCATTGCCCAAAACATTGACTCTTGCCTGGTCCCTTCAGTGCTCGGTGGTTGTCATGGAATGTGTCCCAGAGATTCAGCAAGACCCTGTGGTCCAAGAGCTTTTGCGTGCGTTTGCTGTTGCCACGGGTTACAGAGTGTCTCAACAGGTCATCCGTTTGCAGCATGGTTGGTGCACCCGTCGAGACAGGTGGTTCTGTGTCCTCACTGCTCCAGCCATGGGTCTCTGTCAGTTGAAGGACTTGCCAGTCAATCCGGCCTTTCAGACCGTCCGAGATGTTATGCCGTGCATTCACAGGTGGCCAGATTTTGACCATGCTCAGATCCAGCTGAACTTGTATGAGTTGGCCAAGTTTTACACGTATGCGCCAGGGGGCATTGAAAACCTGTTTCTCAACCCAGACGGGAAATGCCCCACACTTTTGCATTCAGCCGGAAACCAGCTGTATACTTGTGCCTGTGGATGCCGAGCTGCTTTGTCTGAGAATCGGCTCAAGACACGTGGACTTTTTGGAGTCTTGATTCCCCTTGACACGTCACAGGTTCACATGAATCAGGTTATGAAGCACTGCAGATATCTCCATCCTCAGGAGATGTGGGCCTTGATGGGAGGGATCCCTGGTGTGCCGACAGGTCACAATTTGAGATTGGCGATGGCTGGCATTGGTCAAGCAGTTTCTCCGTTGGTGGGGGTTTGGGTCCTTGCTCAAGTGAAACAACATGTTGATGCCTTCTTTGCACGTCCAGTCCCATGTGATCCCCACCAGGTTTTGCAGCAGTACATGGCTGATTTGGTTCAAGCCTGCAAGGCATGGTGGCCCCAACCCATACCAGCCACAGTGCCAGACCTGGAAGTCTCAGAAGACCCCATTGAAGAGGTTGTCCCAAATGTGGTAGTTCATGTGCTGTGGCCGTCCCAGAAGTCCAGTCCGGTGTCGGTGTCTTGTCCTGAAGGCACCACTTGTCAGCAGATTTTGGAGGCCGAGCAGGTCTTGACCAATTCCTTTTGTGACTTGGAAATCAGAGCACGGGGGGAGGCATTGGATTTAGGCCTGGTAGTGGAAAAGGATATGGTTTTGGAGATTGGTCCCAAAGGTTCCTTTGTTCAGGAGTCCAAGCCGCCTGCAACATGTCCACTCACGGTTCAAGATGTCATGCCAGTGATTTTGGAACCCCCGGGGAATGATTGGAATGTCTATGCACTCACCACCATGCAGGAGTTGGCCAAAGTCCGTAGTGATGAAACAACCAAGATTGAAAGAGAAGCCATACTGGGCCAGCAGGGCCCTATTTGGAGTGATGACGAACTGCTTGCAGGCCTCAACCGGATTGCCTTAGCCACTGATGATGACCAACGGGTGGTTGTTTGGGACCCGTTGCTTCTTACTGGACTTGTCACAGCAAGCAATCCAGCTACATGGCAGGAACTGGTAGGTAGTTTGCCGACAGTTGCAACTGTTATCACTGCGGTTGTTCTCAATCAACACTGGTATCCTTTGGTGTGGCGTATGGACTCTGGTGGCGTTACCCTGTTTTCCTGCGGTGTTCCTGTTGCTGTGCATCCGGTCTTTGATTTCCTGACCAGAATCGTTGGTTTGCATCGGGAAGGAGTTGGGGTTGAATGGAAGAACCGAGAACTGGCCTTTGCCTCGGTTCGTCACTGTGGTGCCCTTGTCCTGCTCTTTGTTCAACATCTTTTGTGGGGTTCAGAACTCCCACAATCTCAGGTGGAGGTTGATCAACAGGTGGATTTTTTCCGACGGGATTTTCAACTTGGACTTGCGGATCAATGCATGAAGCCTCGGCTTGCTGGTCTTGGACTTACGGTTGTTGAGCGTTTGAGTCAGCTTCTTGTCGAGCATGGGGTCAGTGAAAGTGAGGGATCTGAGCGTGCCAAACATGTTGTCAGTGTGCTCCGAGAAGACCATGTTGCTTCAGCCTTGGACTCCTCTAATGCCTGGAGGGAACTGAAATGGTTAGCCAATCAACAGCGGCCTCCTTTGAACCTGATCAAGCCGTCCGAATTGCAACATGCCATTGAACGTAGGGGTGGCACCTTTCAAGTGGGCAACAAGCGTCATAAGCAACCCAAGGGAAAGGGAAAGGGCCACAAACCAGTGCAGACACTGGATGCCTCTGTCTTGCGGGTGGAGCATGGGCTTTTTCAGAGTGCAACTGGTCAGCCATTGTCGCAGGTTGCACTTGCAGGTTTGAGTCACAACATGTCAGGGGTGGTCATTGTCAACATGGCTATGGCAGAGGCTTATGTCAAAGCTAACAAATGTCTTTCTGCTGGTGCGTTGGCTTTCCTGATTGTGGACTGTGTGTCTCCTCCTCCTACTTCTTTGGCAGTGGAAAAGGTCCGAGTCCCATTGGTGTGTGCTGTCAATTCGGAGCCTCTTTTGGTTGATGCAATGCTTGTACAACTTGGGGCGGTGACTGTGGTTCGTGCTCCTACAGTTGGGGGATGCAAAGTCCAAGCGGTGGCCACTTGCGTCATTAAGGCATTGGTCTACCGTGACATGACCAAAGAGCCTTGGAATCAGGTTTGTGCTCACCCACTGAAGCACATCTTTGCCAAGATTGCTCCCTTGCAAGTGTGTGAGGAAGAGGACTGCATTGGCTGTGAATCATGGCATCATTCCCCTCAGTTTCCGATGGACACTCCAGTCGTTGAGGTTTGGGGCAAACAGTGGATGAAGCAATCATTTCAGTACTGTCCTTCAGAGCAGGCAGAGGTCTTTGGAGTTCATCTCCGCATTCCAGAGATTCTTCAATTGCAGGTGCAGGCCTACAGCGGGGTTGAAGGGGTTTTCCTTGAACCTCGGTCATTGGATGGTAAGCAGCCCTCAAGCTTATTCCAAGTCATCTGGATGCCCAAGGCTGACTTGACTCAGCTTATGTTGCAGAAGCAGACAGTGTCAGCGGTGTGTGGCCTAGCCAGGATGGGATCAAAGATGGGTCTCCGTTGCAAAGTAGCAGATGCAGCCTCAGTGTACGCAGTGGTCAAGCCTGGCCACATCTTCCTCCCATTTGGACGGAAGACATCGTACTTGGTCGGTCCTTTTGAGTTTGGCACCCTGAAAGCCTCCGTTGCTGCAGCATTGGCCGCTAGTGGGTGGGTTGCTCGCCCACTCCAACCAGTAGGTGCCAAAGACCATGTCCAGGGTCTCATGTTTCGTGTCCATGCCATTGACCCCCCACCAGCCAAGGTGTTGCATATGAGCCATGGTGATGTAGTTGTTACTCAGGAAGAGATGACCGCTGCACAGCCATCACCAGAGCCTCCGGTTGTGGCATCCGCAGCAACGGTTGCAGCAGCTACCAGGGACAGTGAGGTGGACTTCTTGCAAGCGCATGACCCATGGGCACCAGCTGCTCAGAAGCTCAGCAAAGGGCCTGTGTCTTTTCAGATGGGCAGCCCCATGGAGGACTTGGAACAGAAAGTGGTCGCAGCCGTGTTGTCCCAGATTCCAAAAGGTTCTATGGAAGTGGATGAGGATGAGTCTCAGCCGAAGAGGGTTGCTCAGCTGGAAAAGCAGGTCCAAGAGTTGCAGCAGCAAACGCACTCCTTGGGGCAAACCATTCAACAGCATGCCATGGAGCACACCCAACAGCTGCAGGAAGTGCATGCCCAGGTGCACAAGCAAAACACCCATTTTGAGGCTGCCATCCAAGCCCAGGCGTCGCAATTGCATGGATTTCAAGAATCTTTCCAAGACCAGTTCAGGCAGCAAACGGCACACCAACAGACCATGCTGGATAGTATGTTTCAAAAGCAGATGGCACAATTTGAGTCACTCCTGACGAAACGCCAGAGACAGGAGTGAAGGTGCCCAGTCACGCATTTGGCTGCCAATGGTGATTGGGAAGTTCGACAGGGTAGCCATCATCCAGGGGTCTTGTTGGGCATGGACTTGGGTGGGGTTTTTGGCCTCGCTGGATTTTCACACAGGCCTTTGGCCCTTTGGATTGCCGGCCACGTTTTGGTGTGGGTGTGTGTTTTCGTTTTGGGAGTTGGATCAGTAGCAGACACGATGGCAGGCATGGTCATACTGCATTCCGGCTTGAATTGCTTGCAATGGAGTGTTTGGAGTTGCATGGACTTGGCTCTCATGGTTGGTTTTGCCATCTGGTTTTTGTCATGGGTCGGTATCAGGAGTGGTTGTCAAAGGCGGTTGAGCAGGGGGCAATTTTTTGGTCATGCGGAAATCCACGAGAGTGCGATGAAAAAGTTGCGTTCTGTGGTCAATTTTGGTTTTGGATTTTCCCTGGATCAAGATCATGCCAGGGGTGATTTTGTGAAGAGCGAGGGTGGTTGGAATTGGACTTGTACCACCACTCGCGAGCTGCCTGGTCACAAGTGGTCTGCGGTTCACTGCCGGGGGGGTTTTCTTTGGATTGTGTGGGTCGTGGTGTGGGGGGGTTTATGCCGCATAGGTGAGGCGGCACATCCTGGCCCAAATGCTGTCGATACCCATTGGACTTTTGGGATTGCCAACCCCTCAGGTTTAAATTCGAAGGTTGACCTCTGTGCCCACCAAGACGGACAGGTTTGGGTGTACTCAGAAACACATCTGTCCAAGCAAGGGTTTGTGAAGTTTAGGAAGGGCATGCAAGCTTTGAAATCGCCCTACAAGTACCTGGTTCCAGGGCATCCGTGTCCAGTCCGCCGACATGGGGAGGCAGGTGTGCATTCAGGTGTGCTGATGGCTTCAAGTTTTCCTGCGCGCCCACTGCCACACAGTTTTGACAAAGACCTGTATGCTACCGGACGCCTACAGGTAGCTGGTGTCATGGTTGGAGGTGCATGGGTTCAAGTTGGTATGCTGTACGGTTTTCCATGCAATGGGACCCATACTCATGCTAGGTATCAAACAGAGACATGCTTGGCAGAGTTAGTAGACCGAGTCGCAGGGCAAGCACAGGGGCCACGAATAGTGTGTGGGGACTTCAACTATGCAGGGCACGAACTGTCCCAACTCCAACGTCTTGCTGACTGTGGCTTCAGAGAGGTGCAGGATCTGCGTGCCTGGCAAATGGGGGTCTCCGTTGAATCCACTGGGAGGGGCTCCAAAAGGATTGATCAGGTTTGGATTTCTCCAGAACTGCAAGCGGGGTTGCAGCAAGTCGAGGTGTGTTGGGATCGGTGGGCTGACCATGCCACAGTAGAAATCACTTTTGCGCAAGCTAGCCTGGATAGGTTTTCTCAGTCTTGGTTCATGCCATCAGCCTTCCCTTGGCCGAAAGAGTGGCAGTGTAATGCCACTTTTGCAACTCAGAGTGACCCCACACAAGCCTATGCGGAGTTGTGGCGCACAATTGAAAATCAAGCTCGGTGTTGGAATGCTCAACATGGAGTTTATGTGTCAAGGGCGCAGTGTGGACGGGCCCAAGCACTTGAGGTGCGTCGGAAAAGGGTTGTCGTTCAGCCTCCCAAAACCGCACGGGAAGGGGAGCTTGAGCCAGGGTTTTATGGTACCAGTTTGCAGCATGCTAGGTTTTTTAAACAGCTTCGCCGGCTTCAAGCTTTGACCCAGTTGCTTACCAAAGGGATCCAGTCCCCTTCAGCAGCGGAAAATGCCCGTGACACTTGGAGAGCAATCCGCACAGCAGTTGGTTTCCCAGGCGGTTTTGGACTTTGGTGGTTTCAGAATGGGCTCCCACCTGTCTTTTCTAGCATTTTGCCACAATTTTTGCCTGACTGCACACTGGTTCGACAGTTGTTTGATGGATTCCATGGTTTTGTCAAAGCGTATGAGGTCCGTTTGGCTCAGACCAGGTATCAATTTGGCAAGGCTAAGAGAGCTGGGGATCTTAACATGGTTTTCCGCGACTGCAAGGAGTCACCACCTCCGGTTGTTGACACATTGCTGGACAGAATTGAGGCTCAGGTTGAAGAGGTGCGAAGTGAAGACCTGTCTCTTGTGCTTGTCAGCCCAGTGGATTTTCTGCCAGGGCTTCCGGTTGTTGTCGCAGGGCGGGTGGTTGAAGTCTTAGCACATGCACATGACCAAGTGTGGGTAAGTCATGTTGATGGCATTGAGCCAGGTGCCACTTTGACGCAGGAAAGGGTGGTAATGTCCGACATGGACATTCTAGCTCGCTTCAGGGGAGTGTGGGAACCACGATGGAACAAGATGTCCCATGTAGTCCCTGGCCAGTGGGAGCAGATCTGCAACTTTATGGAAAGGGTTTTGCCTGCGGTGACCTGGACTTTTGAACCATGGACTTCTGATCGTTTTGTCGAGGTGGTTAACCAAAAAAAACGTACGGCAGCTAAGGGACCAGATGAGGTGTCACAGCCTGACCTTGCAGCTTTGCCAGCTTCTGCGTGTCAAGCCATGGTGACGTTGTTTCAGCAGGTTGAGGCAGGTCAAACATGGCCTGCCCAGGTGGCCAGTGGGTTTGTGGCCAGCCTTGCCAAAACCAGTGATGCCCAATCGGTGGATGAGTATCGCCCGGTTACTGTCTACAGTCTTCTGTACCGCACCTGGTCTTCTGCACGGGCGCGAGAAGCACTTCGCACCTTGGCTCAGTGGATCCCCAATAGTGTGCAAGGTGGCCTCCCTGCCAGACAAGCCAAACAGATCTGGTACACCATGGCTCAGCAGCTTGAAGATGCCTTTTTGGATGACCTTCCTTTGCATGGACTGCTGATGGATGTCAGGCGTGCTTTCAATGCCATTCCAAGGTTTCCTCTCTGGTTTGCGTTGACAAAGTTGGGTTTTCCTTCCAGCGTGCTCAGGGCATGGGTTTCATTTGTCTCTGGCCAAACACGGCGGTTCAAAGTTCGGAGCTCAATTGGAGAAGCAGTTGCCTCTAACTGCGGGTTACCAGAAGGCTGTGCTCTCTCGGTTTTTGGCATGGTAGTTGTCGATTGGGTTCTTGACTTGTGGCTTCATGCTACTTTGCCTTCATTGGGTCTGCAGGTTTTCATAGATGACTGGGGGGTTCTCTTCACAGAGCATGAACACTTCCACAGGGTTTGGCAGGCCATGTTGGACTTCACCGGCCTCTTGGACTTGGAATTGGACTTGCGGAAAACTAAAGTGTGGAGCACACAGCATGCAGCCAGGAAAGAACTCCGACACCAACAGCCACTGCAGGTTGCTCTCACAGCCCGAAATCTTGGTGCACACCAAAATTTTTGTCGTCATGCATGGAACTCAATTTTGCTGGCACGTCTGAAGGCTATGCCTGAAGTGTTTGGTCGTTTGCGGGCTAGCTTGGCACCTTACCAGGCAAAAATGCGAGCAGTGCGGGTTATGGCCTGGCCAAAGGCTCTTCATGGGGTCTCCGTTGTCATGGTAGGCAAGTCACACATGAAGGTCTTGCGAACAGCTGCAATGCGGGGGTTAGGGGCTGAGCGGAAAGGAGCGAACCCAATGCTCCATTTGGCTAGCAACCACCTTGAGGCAGATCCCGAAGCGTGGAGCATAGTGCAGACTTTTAGGGATGCAAGGGTGCTTGGTTGTCATGACAGACTGGAGTTTATGCTAGGCCTGTTTACATGTGATGACCAAAGGTTTCCAGGCAATGGCCCCACTGCAGTTTTGGCCTCGAGAATCCAGCGGCTTGGGTGGGTCATCGGCGGTAATGGACTTATCCAAGATGGGTTGAGCACTTTCAGTCTTTTCCAAATCAGTTGGGATGAACTCTGGCTGCGCACTGCATTGTCATGGGGTCGGGTTATGCATGTGGAAGTCCAACACCGCCCTACTTTCCAGGGCATTGACTTAGCTGATATCTTGGAATCTCAATCGGCTTTGTCCTCTTTTGGTGCTGCAGACCAGGTCTATCTGCGATGTCACTTGGATGGGACACTCTATACACAGAATGGCCGAGCACACTTCCAAGAGGGCGTTACGGGCCAGTGTCCCTGGTGTTCACAGAAGGATGGGTTTTACCACCGTGCATGGGAGTGTCCTTTTTTCCAGACTTGTCGGTCCCATGTTACCCCTCAGCAGTTGGCTTTAATTCCTAGGCTGCCACTCTGTCTTTCATGCCATGGCTGGGCTATCACTCTGCCAGAGTGGGAAACTTTTGTAGGCTGGTTAGTGGAAGATAGTGGATTTTCTAGGATGTCACCAACAGGTCTTTCCCAGGTGAAACCCTCTCAGGTGGTCGAACTTTTTGTGGATGGCACAGCTGCCAACCCAGGCGAACCCAAACTCAGGAATGCAGCATGGGCGGTCACGACGGCTCAACTGGGCAGCCTCAACAATGAGGTCCTCCTGGGCGGTCATGTTCAAGGGCTCAGTCAAACGCCCTTTCGGGCGGAACTCACAGCAATGGTTGCAGCTCTCCAGTGGGCGCGGCAGCAGAATGTTCGGGTGCGCATTTGGACAGACTGTTTGGGAGTTTTGAAGGGTGTGAGACGCATCCTGAATGGCTCGCCAGTGCGGAGGAACCGAGCTCACTCAGACTTATGGGGTCAGATTGCTTCCTTGTGTGACGACTGGAACGTTGATCAGATTCAGCTGGTGAAAGTGGTCTCGCATGGTAGCATCAGGGCTGCCACATCTCCTCTGGAGGAGTGGGCTTACTGGCACAATGGTTTGACAGATGCAGCGGCAGCCTACTTGAACGACAAACGGCATCCTGGTTTTTGGAAAGCATGGGAGGGTTTGGCACGAGCACTATTTTTTAACCGGAAGTTGCATCGTGCCATTTTGAAGGTGCTTTTACAGACTGGCAGGAAAGCTCATATGGAGGAGCAACGGAATGCTGTGGTCCCTGCACATGTTCCGCGGGTCTTGCCAGTTCGCCTGGGGCCGCCACCAAGGGCACCTGCGCATTGGGTATTTCCCAAGAAGATGATCAAGCGTTATGGTGAGCTCAATGTCAGAATGGTCCACGAGTGGTGGTCCTCAGTTGGTCGAACCTTTTTGGAAGGAGACGCACAACTGGTGATGGTAAGCGGATTGCAACTCTTTTTGGATTTTTCCACAGTTACACAGTTTGCAGGTCCATGGGTCCATAAGAAGCAGTGGTTTGCAGTTTTGGAACAAGTCCCAATGCGAGCCAGGGAACCATGGGGATCCAGAGTGAAGGCCTTCTTGCTGCTGTGGAAAACATACATAAAGAATCAAGGCATTACCATCCCGCAGAAGATGGCTCGTCCCAATTGTGCTTCCATTTCCCATTGGGTAGTTAGCTATAGGCTTAGGTTTCCATCTTCGCTCATACAAAAGTATGACGCCTTGCCTTGGTGTTTGATCAGTTGGGACGGCAAGCAGCCGCAGCGGTCGACATCAAGGAAATTTCACCGGCATGGACCCGGTAGCTCGGCGACTTGGAAAGGGCAGGGGGGTCGCAACGCTGCCCTCTTGCTCCCCAAATAAGTGGAATAAGTGTAATATTTTTCAAGATGGTTAAAACCACCAACCAGACAATATCGTGTTGCTAAGAATTGGGGGGCCTGCGAATTCACCGTTTCAAGATTAACGGAAGACATTTCTGCCGCTCCGGCATATCTACCATGGGTCCAGTCACCATAAAATTAGGGCCGTCGTTGATCCCCGAGTGGTCGCCGCGCAGGTGTCAGAACAGATCAGACTGACAAGAGCAAGGTGAGAATCATCGAGAAAACCTAAGGGCCCAATGGTGCTGGGATGGTTTCGACACAGATGAAGAATAAAACCTACTGCTATTGAGATTGATGACTTGGAACAAATATTTAAAACCAATGTGTTGTCCCTCGCAGCGTGTCGTGTAAGCAGACCCCATCAGAAAACCAATGTGGAACTGCCAGCCGTGGCCTCAGCCTTGAAATTTCGTGTTATCCTGACTATTGTGGATGAAATCCAGTCTTTGGGGGCTTGAGTCCCTTTTCTTATAATTAGCAATCTTTCATTAGTCAATATATCTCCATATTATCGACATCTATGAATCACACACACACACATATATATATATATATACATATTTATATGTATATATATATATATGTATATATATATGTGTATATATATATATGTATATAAAACTATAGAACAGTATAAATGTATAAATGTATAAAAATATAAATGTATATTGTATACATATATCCATACATACATACATGCATGCATGCATACATTCTTACATTCTTACATACTTACATACATACATACCATACCATACCATACCATACATTACATACCATACATTACATACCATACATTACATACCATACATTACATACCATACATTACATACCATATATATCATACATACCATACATACCATACATACCATACATACCATACATACCATACATACCATACATACCATACATACCATACATACCATACATACATACATACATACATACATACTTACATTACGTTACGTTACGTTACATTGCATTGCATTGCTTTGCATTGCATTACATTACAGACATCAATACATACATACATACATACATACATACATACATACATACATACATACAGACAGACATACATACAGACAGACATACACACATACGCACACATACGCACACATACGCACACATACATACATACATACATACATACATACATACATACATACATACATACATACATACATACATACATACATACATACATACATACATACATACACACATACACACATACACACATACACACATACACACATACATACATACATACCTACATACCTACATACGTACGTACGTACATACGTACATACATACATACATACATACATACCATACATACCATACATACCATACATACCATACATACCATACATACCATACATACCATACCATACCATACCATACCATTACATACCATTACATACATTACATACATTACATACATTACATACATTACATACATTACATACATTACGTACATTACGTACATTACGTACATTACGTACATTACATACATTACATACATTACATACCATACATACATTACATACCATACATACATTACATACCATACCATACAATACCATACCATACATATACATATATATATATATATACATACATATACATACATGTGCATACATATACATACATATGCATACATATACATACATATACATACATATACATACATATACATACATATACATACATATACATACATACATACCATAACGTAACATAACATAACACAACATGCATGCATGCATGCATGCATCCATACACACATACATACATGCATACTTACTTACTTACTTACTTACTTACTTACTTACTTACTTACTTACTTACTTACTTACTTACTTACTTACTTACTTACTTACTTACTTACTTACTGACATACATACCTACATACCTACATACTTACACACTTACATATATCCTAAATCTAAATCTGTCTTCTTGACCACCCCATTTTCGCCGGGTCAACCTCGACCCCTTCCGACCCCTTTGGGACCCCTTGCAGACCTACCGGAGCTTGCGGCAAGCCTTGGCAACCCGTAGCCTGCCACAAGCCGTGAAGTGTTTGGCCCATGGGGCTGCAACTTGGCGCTGCGTAGAAAGCACCGATGGATGGTGGTGCTTTAAGCAGCACCGAAAAAGATCGAAAAAGTAGCCTACTAACATTGAATTGGAATCTTTTCCATCTTTTGGGGTTACTTTAAGGATTTTGTTGGATAAATTTGGATAATGTGAGTAATTATATAACTATTGGATGATTGAATATAATCAACCACCTTTCCAAGGGTGCATTTATCCGGTATTTATATGTATTTGTGGGATAATTCTTAGAGAACATGGGTATGTGCTCTTCATCATTTTTGGCCAAAAAAACGTCACGGATGTTCGTGAATCTTTGGGGTCCCCAAGATTCCACGGGTGTTTGGAAATTCCCAAGGTTTTTATGTTTGGATCGCTTGAACATTGGTGAACTCCATGTGAAATCCCATCTTAAATTGGTGAACTCATTGATTTTGGGAAACCATCTTTCAGGTGACTTAAGATAGATGATTTCCCATCCAATGAACATCAATCAACCATGGCAATGGATGGCAATGGGAAATCCCCATCTGAAAAATGGCGGTTTGGTGGGAAAATCCTGGGATCTGGACTGAAGTCTTGGTCGGCTGCCAGGATGTCAACACCTGGTTGAGACGAGGCGAAGGTGTCATGGACACCTTTGGCGCCCCGGAGAGCAACTGGTGGAGTTTGCAACCGAACAAAAGGGGAGGTAGAATGAGATAGAATGAATACCCTCTGGTAAACTAACAGTTTGCTATTGAAAATGGCCATTTATAGTGGATTTTCCCATTAAAAATGGTGATTTTCCATAGCTATGTTAAATTACCAGAGGGTAATATGGTTTTTCATGAGATATAGCCAACTTGATATGATGGGGTTTGTTTCAAAAATTGGTGTGGTTACCCTTTGGTAAGCTAGCATATGGAAAATCACCACAAGTACATCATCAAACTAACCCCAAATAATTATGGCAGATGTTTTCACCATAAAATGACCATCAACCGGAGGTGTTTAACAGTCTCACGGGCCGACCTTACCACGATTTTTGCAGATTGTGATCCCATCTTACATGGATGCTTCTGGAGATGCCTACATTCTGGCTTCATCTTGTATGAAGAGCTCCAGCTACGACTTTTTGAATGCCAGGGCTGAGTTGGCATTTCCAATTCTGACGGTCTGTCATTTGACGGGATTCCAACCTGTTGACCTGCGCCTACAGACCTTTATATACGTAGACTTGAGCGCATGGGGGGGCAGAAATCATTGATTCATGAACATGTGGAGGTTTCCAAAATGGGGGGGTACCCCTAAATCATCCATCTTGATAGGATTTTCCATTAGAAATATTAAAAGCCAACCATAAATGGTGGATCCCCCATTGATGGACAGCCCCACGTAGTTGTTCACAGTCAGAGGCCTGGGGACATGCTGTTGTTTTGAGCCAGTGACTCCTGGTTCCCAGAAAGAGTTGAGCCTCACCTCGGTGTTCCATGTCGGTGGCCGTGATCGGCAGCTCCGGTGGCGGCACTGCGACGCTGGGCCACACAGAGGCGGCTGAGCTGCTGCGAACGATCCATGAGGAACTGCGGAAGGTGGAAGATGCAGTAGGCACAGATGGTGAAACACCATTTAATAGGAATTAACTAGGATTTAAGTGATGATTTAATGGGATTTAATGGAATATAATCCCTTCCCCCTAATATTAAAATATATTAAACACCGTGTTTGATATTAGGGAAGGGATTAGTTAGCCATCCCCGGAAGTTTTTTTTTTTTTTTTTTCTGGGTACTTCCCCGCCAAAATAGTGAAGATCCACTTTCTTGGCATTTTTTTGGATGGCGACAGTAAAACACATTTGGAATCATTTGGTTATATATATATATATATGTATGTATATATATATATATATGCACATCACATTAAATGGGATTTATGGGATATATGTCAACACTAAAAAGATCTACATGTTATAAGCAAATGGGATTATATCCCCAAATGGGTTATATCCTACTCACCATTCTACCAATATGGTGTTTTATGGGGGTACAACTGTGATAGAATGGGGAAGGGGATGTAACTAAGCAACTTGATGTGATCTCTGGGTGTGCCTGAAAACGAAGATAAACGAAGGTATACGAACATAAATTGGCAGTTTAAAATGGCACAATTGATGCTAAACCATGGGAACGTCATGGTTTAATTGGGCTTATGATGGTTTAAGTTTGATCACGACCCTACGTCGCGACGTCACTGGAATGATGGGATTTGGAGTTCGGCAACTACCCCAAGATAGCCAAACTTTTCGGGTACTGTAAGTGAATTGTTGCAATTTATCTAGATCTATCCAATTTATGTTTCTCGCTACCTACCGTATCTCTACAATCCATCTATGCATTGTAAACGGCATATGTGCGCCTTGATGCGGTAAAACATAATTTTTCTGGCTGTAGACTGTGAAATGTAGGGCCCCCTTGAGGCATCACCAATGCTATCTTCGTCTCCCTGCATGGAGGGAAAGGCTTTGATTCTGCTTCTGACACGGACACGGCCATGCTGCATCTGGCCGGTGCTTTCGGACATTTCTATATTTTCTTAATCCGAAATGGGAATATCAATGGGAAATCAACTACCTAGGGAATCGATAGGGAATATGTTTTTGATATTTCGGGGTTCCTTCAGCAAATCCAAGTTATTCCAAAGTGGGGATACATAAATAAAACTGGGTTGGTACTTTTGAACTAGGTGTTGTTTTTTCATCCTGCCTGGGATGTGCTTGAAACCACTAGGTATTCCGCGAAGGGTGACTGTTCGGTGGAACTGATGAAGACCGGAATGTTGAAGGATGTGAACAAACGTTGCGTTGAGTTAGACCAAGAGTTGGCAAAGAGGATCTCTGATGGTGGCCCGGTGCTTATGGATGCTTATGCTTTTGTTTCCAGACCCTCTATGGGAGCTGGCCAAGGTTTTTGAATGGCTTGCTCAACCACCAACTCGGGTTAAACTATCCTGATTTTGGGATAGCATGCGCAGGCACAGGCACACATCCATAAACAGATATCAACATAGATCAACCACATTTTTAGCAGGGGTAGCTCAGCCAGCTCAGCTACAGGCGAGATTCAAGGCTTGATCTGCATTTCCTGTGATGTGGACCTCCATGCCTCCACCCTGCGTGCCGCTGCGGCGACGAAGATTCCCGTCACAGGTAGTGGAGGCACCAGCCTCTCCGCCGCGTCTTCGAGGTTTGGGATTCAGCTGGTGGGCAATGCCGGTGGATCGGTGGCCACCACTTCATACACCCGGGCCGTTTCGTATACCTATGCTTTGGCAACTGCTTGGATGAAGAAGTACCATGCCCTGAGTTCAACTGGCCAGAAGCCTCAAGTGACCAGTGTCCTTTGTGCTTGTCTCCCAGCTTTTTGGGCAGTTGCCCTGACCTGTCGAGTCTTGAAGCTGCTAATGCGGTCAAATCTCAATTGGTGGCCGGAGAGTTGCTTATTTTTGCTGCAAACACACGCATTGCCTACGGTGTGCAGCGTGATTACAGCGACCTCTCTAGCCCCACAGCATGGCTCAACGGTGTTGATGTCCTCAGCCATCGCCTCCATTGTGTGCGAGAAATCCATCCTTGGAGGGCTTTTGGCCGGGTACCTGGTGGCATTTTCTGCTACCTACGTGTTGCATCGATGCATCCTTTTGAACATCCCTGCCACCATGACCAACATGATTTTGGCCGGGGGAATGGGAAGCGCCGTGGCACTTCTGATTGCTCCAAGCATCTCGTACTTGCAGCTGATCACTGGCTACATACGTCAAGCTATCCACCTGTGCATGAGTGGAACGATCCAGGGAGTTGGAGGTGTCATTGGTGCACTGTTCCTGGGTGCTCCATTGGTTTAAAGATGTTTCAACCTGTTTCAAGCGCTTTCGTTTTCCATCTTGCCTGGGATGATTCCAATTGACCACTATGTCACTATGTTTGATTCTTTTCTTGGAGGGGATGGCTTAGAACCTTCCCATACCTTCGGCCAGGTTCTGTTGGGGCAGCAAATATGGCTACTACCATTCCATTTGCTTACCTTTGATCTTGGTAGAGATGGAACTGGGCGAAGCTGCTCTTTGTGGATCCATTGATGAAGCGACCTTGGTGTGCGTTTCTGCTGGCATTTGTTTGGCCAATTTGATCGTGACGCCCAGCTTTGAGGACCAGGGGAAGGAAGAAACCCTTCAGTTGCTGGGCTGGAGACTCCCCTTGCGGAGGCCTGTAGAAAGTACAGCATATTACATACACATTTAGACACCTGTTATAGAGATATTTCTTGGGTGGGCCCGAACCTGCACATTCCCAGGTTGAGTCGCAGAGGTCTCTGCATCAACCTTTTGTTTGGCGACTTCATTGAGGTTGCCTATCCATTTATGGAGAAGAGTTTGCTTGTGAACCTGGCTGGTTATGTGGCCAGTGGCCTTTCAGTTGAGCTGCTGACCGGAAATTCGGAAGACGTCTTGAGCAGTGCTTACTTGCCCTTGCCCGCGGCAATCCTCTTGGCGCGGGATCCGCTGAGAATTTCCCGGGCGTATTTTGCAGCTTTCTCGGTGAGCTTCGCAGGAGCGTTGCTCAACAACTTTCTTTCGACGACGGCCAGAGATGCCTCACCATGCTCACCTGTGAAGAAAGATGAATGAAGTCCTGCCCGGCTGTGCAAAGTTCACAGCAGCTCTGCACGAAACTGCGAGTTGACCACATGCGCAGAAAACTCAGGGAATACCGTTGAGTTCATCCTTCACATTTGTTTCCCAATGGTTACCCAACCTTCAGCCATCTTCAGCCTCTTACTTCAACCTTCAGTTCTAAATCCCATCAGTTGCACGTAGACCCATTTTGATCATTTTGTTGTGGTATGTTGTGGTATCATCTTGAGGGTTGAAAACCATCATAATAATTACATATAATTACCGATTTATTGGAGGACCCTACGGTGTAGAAGGTCAATGGGCTACGAAAAAGGGGATATAATATTGATATAATATGATATAATACCTCCGAAATTTAGGGCTTCAAACATGGTTAACTATGGTTAACCGTAGCTCTAGGCACCTGAAGTGGCCCTTTGAGATCTATATAGAACCTATATATAACTTATATATAACCTATATAACTTGTCTTCGGATCATGGATCCTGAGGTGGCACTCCCCTGCACGCCCTCTGTGCGCAGCACTTGCAGCCGGGGGCCGCCTCAGTGGTGCGGCTGCTGTGTCGCATGCGGGTGCCGCTTCAGTTGCAGGGGCTGTACATGAGCAGTGTTCAAAAGCCTTGTTGGTTGATGATTAGTTCGGGGAATATACTACCCAATATATTGAGAGAGAGAGAGATATATGATATATGAGAGAGAGAGAGATATATATATATATGTGGCAGGGACCTTCTGGTATAATATGACCGTACCCCTTGCCTCTGCTGATACAGCTATTTGCCTTCCATTGGGGCCCTTCATGAAATATTCGGAATCTCTCCAGCCACTCCAGGCCAGCTTTTTTCCATGCCCGACTCAAGCCGCTCTCAGCCTCAAGTTCTATGCCCAGCTAACCTTAGGCATCCCAGCCACACACGCTTTGGCCTGCACGGCCCTTTGAAACCGAATTTTCAGCACCTTGTTCTCTTCATCCAAAAAGCGACCTTCGATGGTGCCTGAGAGTCTGGCCGCAGAATCAGAATCGAAACCGAATCAAATAGTAATCCTCATTCAATTTTGGTCAAAATAAGCTTTAAAAACAGGTCTCCGCAATTGAGATGCATCGAAAACACATCAGACACTGAATACCACCATAATTTGTAACCCAATTACAACCAAGACTTCTCAACGCCCGTAATGCAAATAACACCTCAAGATTCCACGTTACTTGCCCAAAGAAGAACCTCTATGTGTTGGAACCAGACATTGTGAAGTCAGACCTAAAAACACTGAACTGTGTCCAATTTTGATTGGACAAGAAGTTTCTCCAAGCCACCCCAAAATTCCAGTTGCTTGACCAGCTCCTCCATCATCTCTTTGCTCTCGCATGGGATAGTCACTTGACACCGATGTTCTGATTGTTCCTGGGGGAATGAAGATATCAACTAGAATTTATAGCGGGTTTACCAATAGATCCCCGTTGCTTGTGCCTTTTAGTCTCATGCCTCGATTTTAGCCAGCTAAAACTCCGAACCTACCCCAAAACAAGGCTGGATAAAATTTGGGCATGAGGTCCTGCATAGGCGAAAATTCGGGCTCGAGACCAAAAAATTATACCACCCCACTTGGTTTGTAGAGAGATATCAGGCAGATAAAATCCAAGGGTTTGAGGTCTATTCGGCCGAGTCAATTTTTGAAAAATGTGAGATCTTTGCAGGTTATGATCCACAATGATCTTCATGATGCTTGGATATGCTCATCGAAAAAAAAAGTTTCCCAGCTCATCCAAATCTTCCAAAAGCCGCAGATTCAGAATGATTCAGAAATTCATTTATACCTGTTGAAGTTTCCAGGAAGGGCCTAGGCAAGCACTTGCTGAAACATCCGAAAAGAAAAAGCTTAGACCTTGGGATTTCAACTCTGCGCATCTGTTTTCACGAACCCAGATTTGTTTCTTCAAATCACTTCCGCAAAACTATAGAATGTAATTGGCACAAATAGGGGACAAATCTTTACATTCTTTACAATCTTTACATCTCAAACCTTATCTAACCTTGGAAATGGGGAACCTTTTGGACCATATAATCTCAGACTCGTGGATTTTATATGATTTTATCTGGTGTTGATTTCTTGACACCCAATCTATCATCATTGATATCCCATAGACTGTTATCTTGTTATATAAAACGTTTAATCTTTAGGATCTTTATATCCCAAATCTTTTCTGACCTTGGACATGGGGAACCTTTTGGACCATACAATCTCAGGCTCATGGATTCTATCTGGGGTCGATTTCTTAATATCATATCTATATGATCTATCATTTTTGATATCCCATAGGCTGTCATGTTTGTTTTACAAAATATTGATATTTTTTAGGATCTTTACATCTCAAACCTTATCTGACCTTAGAAATGAGGAACCTTTTGGACCATAGAATCTCAGACCCGTGGGTTTTATCTGGGGTTGATTTCTTGATATCAGACCCTGCTTGAACTGTTTCATGTACCAAAATCCCTCCTGGATAAAATTCCGTGGGACTGACAGTCAAGAGCATGTAGAATTTTTATATTTGAGAGTAAAGGTATCCGGCGAATAAAATTCCGATACAACCCCAAAATATAAGAAACAGCTACTGGGATAAAAATTTGGTACAAGATACTCAAGGTACCCCCTGGCTATTTTTTTGGGCTGGACCCCCGGGTTCTCAGCCAGGGGTAAGCATCGGGGATCCAATAGAAGCCATGTGCTGCAACACAAGAAACATCGTGAATGTGACAAAGAAATCACGAAATCACTGCTGCACGTGCACTCTGGCGGACAAGCATCTTTCTTCCCGTATGGTCCCCATCGGTCCCTCAAGTTTCAAACAATATTCTTGCAAGAGGGCTAACCAAATATGGGAAAATAGCGTTTGCAACGCGCAATGTTCGATATAGTCATCTTTACAATATATCGTATATCCAAAATAGTTGATTTTTTTTTGCTCAATGTCGCCCACCGGCGGACAAGACATGAACACGCCTTTCTACCAGTGGAGAACGCTCAAAACAAAGTGGCAACGACATCCACAAGAATTGCAATCGAGGCGCCACTTGCCCCACCCCCTTGACCAGGGGCGCCAGTGGTGCTCCCATGCCGACTCGTCTCCCTGAGGAGGCTATGCCATGACATGAACCCGCTGGAAAATATTGTTTCAGACTATTCCCCGTGAAAACTTAGTAAGGCCCGGGCAAGCCGGGTGACGGAAGTTTCGAAAGACAAAAGTAAGAAGTCTATAAAGAAAAGGGATAACCTATAAGAGCGACTCCTGGCCGCCTGGTTGTCACGGCCGTTGCCTGCGTGATCTCTTGGAACTCTTTCTCCTTGATATTTTTTTCTCGACAGTCTTGTCTGATAATGCCGCACTTTCTCTTGATCCGGTTTGCCCTTGACATCCCTGAATCTTGACAGCCCTTCTTGTTGACAGCCCTCAAGCCCGAGACTTGACACACTCTTCTCACATCACAACCAGTGCGGAGACATAAGAAGAACCAGGCCAACATCATCATACCGCCTCATGTCCTGCTTTCCGAAGTTGACCATGGTCTTCCAGCTAGGAAAAATACTAAGAGAAGGGTTCATGTTTCAGGTTTACCTGTGCTACTCAAAGAAACCTTCTGACCCCCGTGCCCTTCCAAATTTCTTGCCTTGAGAAGAGTTTGAGAGATCGAAGGCCGCAAGAACAAGCCTGACGGAGTAGCTTGATGTTCTGAAAATGCTTTTAATACAATCGGAACATTTTGTCTTTGACAAGTCCCACAGCGTCATCTGGCAGGGCGCGCGCCGACTTGAACCTTTTTCTGCGCAGAGATCGGTCAAGTGCAAGCATCCAATAACTCAAAGGCCTAGGCTTTCAAACCTCCTTGCCTTTTTTTGCCCATGATACGGCAAGTGGACACTCTTACTCTGTTAAAGGGAGTCCTGCGCACTTTCTGCGGGAGGACGTGCGTGGCTGGCTTTTTTGCGCAATGCCTCATGGCCGCTGGTCTTTTGATATTGGCAGCCGGTTTTTTGGAAGCATGCGCCTTGACTAATGATGCTTCTTGCTGCCGTCTCTCATTGAGAGGCAAATGAGCCTTGCCACTCTGTCCGGCAAATTTGCTCCAGGGCTTTCGTCGATTCCAGGCAGAAGAGACAACAGATCTAGCCAGCACCAGGCCCGACGGAATTTGCCGCAAAGTTGGTCTGTACATGCCCGCATGGTGGGTCATCAGTTTGGACAGGTGAAGCACCCGCAGTTTGATTTCCAATGTGCTCTTATGCATCTGCTGCGTCTCTCGGAACCAAGCTCGTACTTCAGCATGCAGTGCCTCGTTGGAAGTGGTACCAGCAGGAAGTAATACAACTCGATCTGGCCGCATACTATGGCGCGCCCGGATGTTGTTGAAATACCATTGCATCCTCGCAGGCACGCAGGCAGTGTACAGCACTTGCCGTCCAGACCGGTTCGGACCGGGAATGATTTTGTCTACATCGTCCGGAAAACATCGGACAAATGCTGCCATGGCCTCAATGCAATCCCGTTCGCATTGCCAAGGCTTCGCAGCATCCAGGCTGTCAAGGAGAGATTCTGCTTTGGCCTTTCCCATTCCTCCACTCAGAATCTGTTCTCGACGTGTCTTGGTGATGTGATCGAACGAAACATCCTGAATGCCGTTGAAAGGCCTGGAGTTGTAGGCTGACATGTTCTTAAAGTCCACGGCATTAAACTTTTGCATAATTGTTCTCAACATGGTTGACGCCTTTGTTCTTCTTCTGTACGTCCCATACTCAAAAGTCATGCATAGGTGGACAGGGTCCAAGCATAGCAGCTCCAGCTTTGGCATGACATTGCGCAATGTCGACAACAAATGCGCAGAAGGATCATCCGTGCACACAATCCGTGTTTGCCGGAGTCCATCTTCAGGCAACGACTCAGCAATGCGCTCGGCAATGGCGGGTGCCTCCTCATTTGGCGTTGGAGCCATGAG